AATCATACAACATTTACATCAAAAAATATAACATTTACACCAAATCATACAACATTTACACCAAATTATACAACATTTACATCAAATTATATAACATTTACATCAAATTATATAACATTTACGTCAAATTATACAACATTTACATCAAATTATACAACATTTACACCAAATTATACAACATTTACACCAAATCATACAACATTTACACCGAATTATACAACATTTACATCAAATTATACAACATTTACATCAAATTATACAACATTTACATCAAATTATACAACATTTACATCAAATTATATAACATTTACATCAAATTATACAACATTTACACCAAATTATACAACATTTACAACAAATTATACAACATTTACATCAAATTATATAACATATACGCCAAATTATACAACATTTACAACAAATTATATAACATTTACATCAAATTATACAACATTTCCACCAAATCATACAACATTTACACCGATATTATACAACATTTACAACAAATTATACAACATTTACATCAAATTATACAACATTTACATCAAATTATATAACATTTACATCAAATTATATAACATTTACATCAATTTATATTATATTCACACTCACTTTGAGTAGATTATCACAGAGAGCAATAAAGGCCAAAAAATACAATGTATATGAGGAGAATACAATGTAAAACATGTTAAAACAATAATTAAAATAATAAATACAAAGAATGCCTTTGTTGATGACGTCATTTTACCTGGCATTTTTCCTAATTACCTTTACTACTTTTAATGTTTTGTAACTGTTACCTGGTAACCGAATTTATTGCTGATTTTTCTGATATATACCAATCCTTTTCAAGTCTAGGAAGTCTGATAGGTTTCAGATCTGACCAAAAATCATATCTAGGTCAAAATTTTAAGCAGATCAAATTAAAAGCTGATGCAATTTCAGTATCTGATAAAAGTATATGCAAGAGGCAGTATCCTGATGTAGTAGCAACTCTAAATGTTAATCCCAATTTATCATCAATTACATTCTCTCTATGGTGCCACTAGACTCAAAACAAAATTAGATTCATTACAGTAATTGATAGACTCAATTCCCACCAGTTTGTGGCATTCCACGTGCACTTTCTGCACTAACAGACATTCCTGAGGATAAAGATACCGTAAAGAGTTTTGGTTATTTACTGTTTCTATTTGGATCATTCAAATTTTAGTCCGTGGTTCATGTAACTATAGAAATTCTTAACCATTCATGAATTTGGAATGGTATTAGGGGATGAGAGCCGACATCGGACCGACTGTCGCAAGCACTGGCACGGGCATCAGAATTTTTTTTTTTTCTTACCTTGAGGAGGACTCGAACCCACAGCACCTTATTGCATAGCAGACGACAATCCAACTCGCTACCGACTGAGCTATTCAACTGCCACAAAACTAGCGTTAGAGGAAAGTATTGACGTTTACACAGTTCGAAAGTTGTTGACCCCTTCAAGGAGATATTCATATATTCAGATTGAAAATTGGAATGGTGCAAATCGATGCAATCAGCGTCTGTATAACACCTAAAAAGTTGAGAAAATCTCTTGACAATTCTTTTAATTTATGGCATATAAAACGACATGAAATTAAGATTTTCCAGGGCGTTTCTAGAAAAATTAGGTGGGGGAGGGGACACAGGCAATTCTATCACTGTGCAAAATGATACAAATTTTAAAGGGGGAGGAGGGTGGGCAAAACCGGGCCAGACCCTTTTCTCCCCGTAGAAACGCCACTTGTTTGTTCCAACCGGTTCCTACATTATTGCTAAACAGAAATGACGTTTTCAGTTAGACTTTAAATACACTGTGTTCGCCTTACCAACTAACACACCCGTATTAGTGTAAGGATGCTCAGAAAATATTGTAAACTTACACCAGCATTGTGTAATAATTCAACACTAAACGTGGTGTAAGATTACACCATTTTAGTGGGCAACATAGCTCCCACTCAAAAAGGTGTGAACTCTCTCATTATTTTACTGGGATATTTCAATATAATGGTATCTCGTCTTTTATCCGTTTTGTTTTGTTAGTGGGTGACCATAAATTGGTCAGGTATCGAACCTTTTTTAACTCCTTTTCATTGACAGAAACGTAGTATAAATTTAATGCACTAGACAATTTAAGTCCCGAATATCCATCTTCACTCAACGTGACAGCTCAAAAATGGTATCACATTACAGAATATCAGAATCCCCTGCTGGAATCGTTGTAATTTAATTCAGCATGATGATTGATAATTGACCATGCAATTTACATTTAAACCATAAGCGAAAGAATTCAAGTAACTTGTGCAATAAAATATCTAGAATTCTAAATGCACTTTGGGGATATATGATATTCATTAAACTAACACATAGAAAATGTTCCTACCGCAATAAATTTTATCAACCAGTCTTTTCTTCATTTCAGGTGTGTAGTGTATTAGTTGAAGATGTCTGGAAAACCGGAACTACCCTATGGCTATTTAGGTGCCCAACCTAAATTCAGTGAATTCGGTATGACCACGTTGAGTCATAATAACCCGGAAGTGGCAGTGAGTGACAACCAGATTGAAGTAAAGTTTAAAACGACTCGTCCTGTAAAATTGACTGGTAATCTGGTAGAATGTGCCAATGAACAAGAACATAAAGATTATGTTTTCTGTCATACACAGGTAATCACTTTGATAATTTACCCAGAATATTCGTTGTTTAAAGGGACAGCTGTGCCGTTTTTGTGTTTTATTTTTTGGGGGGAGGGGAGCGATTTTAGTCTTGAATATATGTAAACAGTTTTCAGAAGTACTACAAATGTACGAAAATCGCATAATTCCTTTAGAAATATCTCAAAATAGGAATTTCTTTTCGTATTCTATAGATCTATTTCTATATATGGCAGTATCTCAAGAAAAAGACGACTCGTCTATTTAACATTCAAACGCGGATAATTCTAGACACACATGGATTTGAAGTCTCAAATTTCGACGGTGAGCTGTGAACACTATTACTGATTGGCTAAGCTAAAAAATTCCCGTTTAATGTTTAATATATATATGTGCTTAAATTCCTTCCTTCCCGGGCTTATTTCGATCTGATGGGATAATTATTAGAAACCACGTTAGCCACAAGCTGTGAACGCTCAGAACCCTTCAACGGTTGCCATTAAAGAAACGGTTGGTCAACGCCACTATCCTGACAAAATTTCTCTCATAATGCACAATGTACCTCTTTGTCCGTTTTCATTGGTCAGATAGCAAATAGGTAGTATGTATGAGTTCATTTTATTTCTATAGAAGGAAACTTATTAATTCAATTTCTGCTTTCAGAATGACGTCAGCTCAATGATTGCGACGATGCCCAATCCCGGATACTATAAACTACAGATCTACGCCTTGCCTTGTGACGATGACAGCAAGACTCTACCAGGCGTTTTCAACTATCTCATTAACAACCAGGGAAGCGCTAAGGCTCCTACACCCTTCCCTAAACAATACGCACCATGGAAAGACGGGTGTTACTTGTACGATCCCATAGTTCTTAACAGATCCATGAATTTATCTAACATCCAAGTCAAGCTCCACGTCCCGAATGCTGCAGCTGTTGCCGCAACCGTCGAAGGAGATTGGACGCATCTGGAAAGAGATGCCCAAGGATTGTGGGCCGGACAATTAAATCTTGACAAATTCAAGCAAACTGGTTGTAAAGTTTGTTTGAATGCCAATTATGGCGGCGATAAAACCAAATTCGCTACCCTTCTTGAATACAGTTTATAATTGTATGTTATGAATACTAAAATATGCTCAAAAACAAATTGAAAGTAGCTCAACAGTGCAATACGTTAAACCGGAAGTGAGTATGTACAGGAATTGTCAACCAATAGATATGCAATTGTATATTTACTTCCAATTTGTAAATCTGAAACTCGGTCAATTCGATTGGTTAGCTGTTCGCCAAAGCAAGGAAGGTGACTGAAAACTTAATGAGACGCGTATTTAATGCTCATTTTTCGCCAAAATGGAGGTCTGAATGCTTTTTAT